AAACTATCAGCATTAAGGGGAATCAAAAGATGCTTGTTGTAGAAGATGGAAGTAGAGCTAGAACTTCAGGGAAACCAGGAGGCAGATATGAGGAGGGGGACAATTCCAGTATGAGACGGCCAGTGAAAATGCCCAGAGCTGGGAGATGGAGTGACTTGTGGGAGGAACAGCAAGAAGGCCAGTGTCACTAGATCAGAGTATGGCCAGGTTGTGACGGGCTTTAAAAGCCAAGTAGAAGAATTTTATATTTGACCCTGAAGGTAATAGGGAGCCACATGAGTTTGCTGAAGGAGGGTGGTGGTGGTGGTGGTGGTGGTAGGTGGTGTTGACAATGTTAGACTTGTGCTTTTAGAAGGTTATTTTGATAGCTAGGTGGAGGATGGACTGGAGAGGGGAGGCTTGTGGCAAGGAGACCAAATAACAAGCTATTGCAAAAGTACAAGGCATGAGGTGATATGAGCCTGCATCGGGATGATGGCAAAGCCAGGAGAGAAAGGGGAATATACAAGAGGTATTATGAAAGTATAATTGACTGGCTTTGGCAACAGACTGGATACGCAGAGAGATCTAGGATGATACCTAGGTTGTCAGTTTAGGTGACTAGCAGCGGTACCCTTCATAGTAATAAGGAAGTTCAAGAAAGAAAAGGGTTTGGAGAGAAATGTAATGAGTTTAGTTGAATTTAATATATTTTTGGCACATCCAGTTCAAGATGTGTAACAGTTAGTCAGTCAATTAGCATTTATCAAGTGCCTACTATTTGCCAATAACAGTGATAAGAGATTTGGATACAAATAAGGGAGGAAGACAGTCCCTGCTCTCGAGGGGTTCACAGTGTACTGGGGGAGACAATATGAAAACAACTATGTAAAAAACAAGATATACATAGAGTAAATTGGAGACATGTGACTGTAGGTCAGCAGGGGACTGGACAAGTACATATGACAATCAACAGAGATGATAATTAAATCCATGGGAACAAATGAGATCACCAAATAAAATAGTATAGAGAAAAGAGAACCAGACAGAGTCCCAAGTTATCAGATGAGGCCTGGATGAAGAAGACTGAGGTGATAGGTAGGAGAACTAGGATAGTGTCACAAAACCTAGAGAAATGAGAGTATCAAGAAGATGATCAGAGGTCAAGAAAGATGAGGATTGAGATGAGGCCATTAGATTTTGGAAAGACCAGTTTCAGTTGAATGAAATCAGAAGTCGAAACTATAGGGTTAAGAGAATGAGAACAAAGGAAAAGAGACACACTGACTGTCTTCTCTAGGAGTTTGGCTGTAAAAGGGAAGAAGAGACAGGATATAATCGCAGATGGAGATGGACAAATCTAGTCAGGATTTTTTTGTGGATGGGAGAGACAAGGGCATATTTTGTAGGCAGTAGGGAAGCAGCCAGGAGGTAAGACAGCAGAAAGAGGGAGGGATGAAAAGGAGAGGGGGAAAACAGGAGAGAGAAATAGCAAGGGGGAGAGACAGAAAGAGAGAGGGAGGGAAAGAGAGAGAGATTAAAAATATAGTTGAGAGGAATCAATCTATTAAGAAGGAATGGGATAACTTGTGCATGTAGAGGGGCTTGCCTTGGCAAGAAAAAGGGCTGCTTTTTAAGTGAGATGGGGTGGAGGGGAAGGTGACATGAAATGAGGAGGAAGTTTTTGAAAAAGAGGGACCTCTTGGCAAATGGCCTTCCATTTTTTCAGAATCAATATCCTTTGCTGATTCATCATTGCTATGCACTAGAAAGTTCCATTCTGAGACTTTTTCCTCAATTTTGGTCATTTGATCCTTCATTAGAGCTGGATAAGTTATTATATCTCCCTCTCTCCCTCCCTCCCTCCCCAGTGTCTCTCCTTACTCTAGTCCTACATTGCCAGCTGCCTAACGGACATTTTCAACTGGATATTCTTTAGACATTTCCAAATCCACATGTCTAAAAGAGAACTCATCCTTTCCCCTAAAACCACCCCTATTCCAGACTTCCAAAATATTGAACAAGTCAACATTATCCTTCCAATTACCAAGGCAGCAAGTACATACAGGCATATATTTGCATTTAAATACCTTCACAACCTGGCTCCCTTCTACCTCTCCACACTTACTACACTTTACCTACCGGAACTCAAACTCTCTATTCCAATATATGCTAGCCGATTTACTGTTTGGTACACAAGACACCCAATCTCCTGTTTGTGGCTTTGTACTGGCTGCACTCCATGCCCGAATGCACTCTCTCCGGAAACTTCACCTCTTGCAACTCCTGGTTTCCTTCAAGCCTCAGTTCAAGTATCATTATCTATATGAAGCATTTCCTAGTTTTCATTTGCTTGTACACCCCCCACCCCACCTCCAAACTATGTTTGTTCTGCAGATTCGATGTAAACTTCTGTGTAAACATGTTTTCTCTATTAGAAAGTAACTTCCTTTAGGAAAAGGACAATTTTATTTTTGTCTTTATATTTTTTCCCACGCCTTTTAATTCATCCTGACAAATCTCTCCTAGGTAGCTTTGACACTTTAATGGAGTTGTTCATCCATCTGTGTGCAACTTTTTATTGGTAAAATGTTTCCAACTATTTATACCAGAGATTCCTCATCTATTGGCCTTTAGATGACCAGCAATTTTGACTGTGTATTCCAAGATCACAGCAACATACATCCAGAAGAATGGACAACAGCATTCTCTTCTTTGTCATATACACCATTTCTAACTTTGTAGTCATGCATAACTCATTAAAAACATTTATTTCCAAGTTGGCCGTTACAGGATTACTAACTCACACGTTGGGAAAAAAAATCTATTTGAATAGTGATTGCTGTTCAGTCCTTCATGACCCCATTTGGGATTTTGTTGGCTAAAATACTGGAGTGGTTTGCCATTTCCTTCTCCAGCTCATTTTAAAGATGAGGAAACTGAGGCAAACAGGGTCTCCCAGCTAGTAAGTGCCTGAGGCCACATTTGAACTCAGAAAGACAAGTCTTCCGGACTCCAGGTCCCCATTCTACCCACTGCCCCACCTAGCGGCTCTGTAGAGATTACCCCTAATAAATGACAGACAAAAACATTTATGTGGGTTAAAATGAATATATGACATAGATATTTCCAATTACTCAGGTGATAAATTGTATTGTTTGTATCAATGGAAAGATGCCTGGATCTGGAACTGATACTCATGTTCCAGTCCTGCATAAACTCTGAGCCTCAGTTTCTTTACCTGTAAAATAATACCTGTACTAAATACCTTACAACAATGTTGTGGTGATCAAGTCAAATAATGAATGGAAAGCATTTTGTACTTTAAAAGTTATTAATGCATAATATATGCATTATTAACACTCCTAGAAGTAGCCTAGTCTAACTGCTCACTTTTGCAGATGAGAAAATTGAAGCCTGGGAGGTTCACTTACCCAAGATCACACAATTAATTAGTGGCAGAGCAGGACCTAGAAACTAGGTCTCTTGATTATGACTGTTCTGTGTACCACTCAAAGCTGAAAGGGGCAATGATGTCTCTGGGGGTTAACCCTTCATCACACAGGCTGAACGACACACATAAATACAGAATTCACCAGAAGCCCAGGGGCTGTTCCTCTCCTAAGAACTGAAAAAGTTTAAAACTGTGGGCGGCCTAACAAGTCCAGGTTTGTATTATGATTTATGCATACTTTAAATTCAGAGTTATAATTGAGTCTATTTCTTTATTCTCAGTGTATCTTTATGATGGTGAAAAACAAAATCTCACTGGGATAAAGCACCGTTAGTAATAGCGGACCCCAACTTTTGAATCTTGAACCATTGCGTTCGGTTTTTGGTCCAAGTTTTCCTACGTCTGGGTTAGGAGGAACACAGCGGTCAAAGTAAATTCTCCAAAGAACAAACCTGCCGGGACCAAGGTCATTTCCTCGCCTCCTTTACTCTACAAACATCCAGCCTGACGCCCGTGGCTTTCTTTTGCCGGAATCCTTTACCACAGGCTCAACACGGACTCAGCTTTCTAGAATGGCCACCGTGGCCGGGGTTTAGGCCCACCGACCCAGCCTGCTCCGGACGAAAGCCCCCCGTGTCCGAGCTAAGCTGCAATGCCGCCCGGCACGAGGCGGTGAGAGGAGCCGACGGGGATGATTTGCATTTTTCACTAAGCCAGCAGTATCAAGGGCCGCTTTGGGCGAACCGGACCCGGCACCACCCGCCTGCGGTCCGGGTTCTCTCCCACCCGGGTCCCCCGAGGCCACGAAGAACTTTCCCGCAGGAGCCGAGGTTTCGGGGGCCGCGCCACCGCGGACCGCAGCGGGGCAGAAGGGGCCCTGCAAGAACGGGGAGTGAAGGGGAGCGGCGGGCAGAGAGGGGGCTGCCGGGGCACGTCCGGAAGGGCTCCCGAGGATGCTCGGGCGCTGAGAGGACCACAAGGGCGGGAAGGCTCCAGGGCACAGCGCCTTACCTCCTCCAGGGCTGCCGCCATGGCTTGCCGCCACCGCCAGGAGTAACGCGAGCCGCGACCACGCAGAGGAGAGGCCCCGGGATCCCACACCGCAAGCACCGGGCTCAGAACGCGGAACCGACCGCCACAAGCCGCTGCCCCCAGCGCCGCCTGCGCACAAATCGGAAGTTCGCGGGCCGCCCTCTAGGCCGCCTGCGCGAGGACAGAGCGGACGGGACTCTGCGGGCCTCCAGAGCCGCGCCCCCTCCTCATTGCCCCGCCCTTCCTCTACCGCGAGGCGCCTCTGGAACCTTCGCGAGCCACCCACGTGGAGCCTCCGCCAAGCCCTAGGCCCCGCCAAGCCCTAAGCCCCGCCTAGTCTTGCGCACGCGCTCTGCCTGCGGAAGCCAGCGTCGCGCGGCGGCCTTCGGGAGCTGATAAGCAGTTGGAGGGAAAGAACACATCGCTTGCCGCTCCTGCCTCCTTGGCCTGTCATTCCCGCGCAGCCGCAGCCCACCCTACGACCGGAAGGCTTTCCCGTTCGTGGGTGATCGGTGGGCGAGGCCTGGAGCGTCCGCGGTTTTGCTTCCTCTAGGACGCTGGGCAGCCCTAGGGAGTTGCCATCTTACTAAAGGCAAAATCTTGAAAAGCTTTAGAGGTCCGGAGCAGACCCACCCACCGGGGGGGCGGGGGGGGGAAGAGGCTGGTTTAAAGTGGCAGGCTACGTGGATCATTTTTGTCCGAGCCTACGTTGCGTCACCCCCGCGATGACGTCACAGCCAGTTTGGGAGGCTCGTGCCCGTCTTTGTTGGACCCCACAGTCCAGTGGAGGTTGAAAGCAAGAAGCCTTTATTAAGTACCCACTGTTTGTGCCATGCCCTCCCCTAGGGGTTTGGGGATACAGATACGAAAGCGAGACCAGCCCCTTGCCAGTCAACAATATTAGGGGCTTCCTTCCCATGTGCCAGGCATTGTGCTAGTCAGTGGGGATGCAAAGAAAGGCCAAAACAGACGCTGCTCTCAAGGAGCCCCCCACCCAACGGAGACAACAAGCCATCTGTGTGCAGATGAGATATGCTGCTGAGCGCAGTAAACTGCAGGCACTCAAGAGGGGAGGCTCTAGCTTTAAAAAAGTACCTGGCACGTAGTATGCGTTTAATAAATGCACGTTCCCTTTCACTTCCCCCTCTTTCCTTGAGCATTTGCAATAGCCTCCCAATTGGACTGCTGATTCTAGAATCTGTCCAATCCATCTTCCATACAGCTGCCAAAATAATCCTTCTGAAGCACAATTGTTTCTATCATTCCCCTGCCTAAGAGATTTCGGTGGTGGCCTGTTGCCTTTAGGATTAAATACAAAGGCCTCATCTTTGCCTTTACTACCTGGCTTCCAGCCTAGTTTTCAAATCTTATTGCACTTTACTTCCTTTCGAGCACATTACTTCCTTTCGAACACATTACATTTCACTGAAAATAAACTGCTTGCTATACAAGGCAAAGTCACAATTCCATCTTCCACCTCCATGTTTTGGCTCAGCTGTTCCCCGTGCCTAGAATGTATTCCTTCTGTCCTCTACTTCTTAGAATCCCTGGCTTCCCCAAGGTTTAGCCCAGGTGCTCTCTACTATGGAAACCCGAGGTGTTAGTCCTAAGTCCTTCAAATCATCATGTAAAAACACATTTGTGTTTATATGTTATATCCCCTGATAAGCTCCTTGAAGGCAAGGAATGTTTATTTTACTTCATCCTTATACTCCTAGAACCCACCACAGTGTTTTTACCATTGGGGTTTGGGGGTGAGAAGGGAGGAAAAAGGTAGGTCCAGACCTATTATTTTATTGGTGTTGGTAATTAATGTAGAAATTCCCTCCACCTATGCAGGGCCACAATTCCCCTGTTACATATAGTCTTAAAAGAGTGGTCTGAGAATATTGAGAGGTTTGGTGACTAGTCTAGGGTCATATGACTAGCATGGTTTGAATTCAAGCCTGAGTAGTCTATGATGCCTCTCACCTTGCACTTACTAGGGGCTTACCAAATGCATGTTGGATTGCCTTATAGAATCTCTATCTTTCTTTTACCTTTTCTCTAGCTCAACTCAAGTGCCACCTTCTACAGAAAGCCCATCCTGGTCCCTCTAGTTGCTAGTATCCTTTCCCCAGAAAGTACTTTATTTTGTGAGGGCTATCTCCAGTCATCCTGATCTATATCTCCCCAGTGGACCCAGATGGCTGTGGAGAGACTGAAGCTGGTGACTTTGCACAGCCCTTCCTCACTTAAATCCAATTCACTTGCATATCATGATATCACCTCCCTGATGTCATGGTCCTCTTGGAGAACAAGGGACAAACAACTTTATATGTATTTTGTATTTAATTTTCTCTATACATGTTAAATCTCCTTAATAGAATGTAAGCTCCCTGAGGATAAGACTTTCATTTTTGTCTTTGTATAACCAATACTTAGCTCAGTGCAAATAACAGGCACTTAATAATGGCTTAGGTTGGAGAGGCTATAAAGGTCAAATCAACAAGCTTCAGTAATTGGTAGGATATCAGAGGTGATAGAAAGAAGAGTCAAAGTTATCCCCAAAGTTTTAAATATGGGAAGTCCAGTGAATAGTGTTGCCCATAGACATCTAGATTTCCCTCTGTATCCTTTTATCTCCACCCCAGAAGCATCCCTTATGAAAAATACTCTTAATTAATTAAACAAATTAAAAAAGAGGAAGAAATCATTCAGCAAAACCAAGTAATACACCAAAAAAATCTGACATTATACCAGTTTCACAGCATTGGATGTCCCTACCTGTAAATCAATTGTAAAGTACTTCGAACTTCCTAGGTGCTTAATAAATGTTTGTTTCCCTTCCCCTTGTAGGCCCTCATCATCTCTTGCCATTAATTTTCCCCACTGTCCTCATTCCAGTGGTGGGAAGCATTTTCTCATATCTCAATTTTGTGGCCAAGCTTGTTTATAATTTCACAGTACTTTTTTTGTGGTTGTTTTTTTTTTCGATTTACATTGTTGTAATTGTGTATAATCTTCTCCTAGCCCTGTTTACTTCATTTTCTTATAGCACAATAATCATTAATTACATTCATGGCCCACAATTTGTTTTGCCATTCCTCAAGATGCCTCAATGAGCATCTACTTTGTTTCTAGTTCTTTGCTGCCAAAAAAAAGTGCTACTATAAGCATTTTGGTGTAAATGAAGCCTTGATGATGTCATTTTTCTACTCAAAAACCTTAGGGGCTCCCCCAGCCTGATATTCAAGCCTCATAACAAACTCCAATCTATTCGGTCCAGATATTTCACATTATTTCCCATTATTGGGATTCAAAGGGCTTTGCAGAATAATTAGATGAGTAAGTCCAGTGCTGGAGGAAGGAATGGAGCTGCCACTCAAGCCAATCAGCCAACAAGCAGTATAATGCCTACTGCATACCAGGCACTGAAGATCCAAAGACAGACTTGAAACAGTTCCTCCCCTCAAGGAACTTGCTTGCATTCTAATAGGAAGAAAACATGCACATATATAGCTATATACAAGATACCTATCAGGTAGATGCAAGGTAACCACCAAGGAGAAAGAATTGGGTTTTTTTGGGAAGAGGGTGGAGTGAGGGAGTGGACTAAAACAGATCCTGCAGTCATTAGCATTTATTAAGCACTTACTGGGTTCCAAGGACTATTTTAAGCTCTGATAGCAAGAAAGGCCAAAAACAGTCTCTGCCCTCAAGGAACATATATTCTAATGATGGAGACAACCAGTCAAAACTAAGCTCTTAGAGTATCTATGTAGCGTAGATGAGGATAATGTGAAAAGGGAAAGTGTGGCCAGCTAGGGGCACCAGGAAAGTTATCCAGTAGGATGGGGGATTTGAACTGAGTAATGAAGTAAGCCAGGGACTCCATGAGGTGGCGGTGAAGGCACAGAGCATGGGGAACACAGGCAATGCGAAGGCCAAGAGAGGGGATGTGATCAGGGGAGCTAAGTTGTGTAGTATGTGGAAGGGAGAGTTGGAGAGGTAGGAAGGCGCCAGGGATGAGGCTAAAATGCCAAACTTAGGTGTTTATGTTTGATCCTGAAGGTAAAAGTCACTGAATTTAGTGAGCAGGACCTTGGCATGGTCATAGTCCTAGGGCAGCCAGGTGCTGGACTGAGGAAGAGCTGAGGGGCAGATTTGGCTTCTGATCAAGACGTATGGCCCTGGGCCTGGAGTGGGGATGAGGCAGGGAAGCCAATGAGGAGACTGTTACAATGATCTAAGCAAGTTGTTGCTGTGTGAATGAAGAGAATGGTCCAGATGTGAGACATGTGAAGGTAGAAACAGCAGTTTGGCAACTGATCTGACATACAGAGTGAAGGTGAGGGTGAGTTTAGGGTAATGCAGAGGTTATAAATGCAGGAACCTGGAATGCCAGTGGTGCCTTTGGACAGAAAAAGTGAAGTTTGGAAGAGGGAAGGGTCTGGGGAGAAAATCTGATAACTAGTTTACTTCGGGGCATATTGAGTTTTCATGCTTTCAGGAAACCTGACTTGAAATGTCTAATAGGCAGCTGGTGATGTAAGCTTGAAGCTCTGAAGGAGGAGAGCCTAGAGCTGGATATCTGCAGAGAGACAAGAGCTAGGCCCTCCCACCCCAGGGAAATGACAGGGCCAGAGACATGCTGCAGAGACACTGCACAAAGGGAGCACTCGACTCCTCCACAAGGAAAACATCAGCAAAGCAGGCCCAGACCCCAGGACCAAGGCAGACTGTTGCCTTGCAGGACCCAGCCTGGCTTAGGGTCCAAGGGAGTGAGAAGCACCAACAACTTACAGAAACAGGCTCCTGGTGGCCATTTCTTTTGTATTTCTTTTTATTTCACAAGGGATCAATCATTCACACAATGAAAACAAGATACCCTCCAAACAAGTTCTTAACAATTAGAAAAGTAAACATTTGTTGAGACAATGTACAATAAATCGCACTTTTCATAGCAAGCATTTACATTGATAATTGTACTATACATAATACATGGATTTATGGAAAATGTCTAATTGTCAGTGGTCCCTGGTTTGGGGAACAATGTGGTTTGCAATTTTCTTCTTGTAGCCTTTCCTGTATTTGTGATTTGGATGGGGGTGGGGAGGAGGTGTAAATCAATTCATTTGTTTTAGAACTTGTATGGATGAGTCATAGGATCAGTATAGGAAAGCAATTAGCACAAAGGTGATTTTCTTCTACCTCCTGGTCAATGCAAAGACAGGGATCAGAAAAAGAGGAAGAAGGGTGGGTGGAGAATGAAATCTTTTTTTTTCTCATTTGAAATACAAGATCCATGAATTATGTAAAATACTAAAAATAGAGAAACTGGTGCAAAATGCTATTAAGATATCTTGGATTCTGGGACCACCTCCAGCATCACTTCTGTGCTTTGATGACACTAGAGTCCTTTGATGTATTTATATTATTGTAATTCAGTTTCATATATATTAGTCTGTGACTAATATATAGTTTTCTCCAAATTACATACATACTGAAACCTTTACACATTAATTCCCACTGAAAAAAGGAAATGTCTGAAAAATTTTCCTACTCAACATTTTTAGATAAAAAACATTCCCAATAAAACCTGGAGTATATACTAAGGAAAATATGGACATGTTATTAATAGTTCTGTTTTACTAACACAGTCCCCTGGCCACATGCTGTATCTGAGGTAATTTACTCACCCTCAAGCTGGGAAAGGAAAGCCCTAGCAGCCAGCTGTTATCTATGAAATGACTCTATAAATACCTCATTTTCAAATCCTAACTCCAGATCTTTTCATGCTCAGTACTTTCTATATAGTTAATTTCCCAGTTTTGGTGGCTTTTGTAGCATTGGGGGAAATTCCATGGACAGTATCTACTCCAGTATTATACAGCCATGTATGTGAAGGAAAAATAAGACCTTCACTTAATGATGAATTTTGTAACAATGCAGGCCAAAAGAGACATGCACTTTGCAACCAGAGAAAGAAAGAATTAACAGTTAATGCAGAAAATTTGATTGGGCACAATGCTGTTTTCTGATCTGCTGTCTTGGATTCCCACATGCCGTGGGGACATCTAAATACCCAGGTGGACACACACTACATGGGCATAACTGATAAGCAAACAGATACATATATGTAATTTAACTGTTCAGGAAGTCTACCTAACCTTCAAATTACTGGTTTGCTTATTCTTTTGTCTATTTGGAAATGAAACAAGAGAAGCAGGTTATTTGGGATCTTATTTAAGCTTATTAAATCAACAACTTTCTTGATCATTCATCAAAGGGACTGTTTTCTAGAGAGAAAAAAACAAGTAAGATGCTGAAACAAAAATTTACTGAGGTGCTAGAATCATTTAATTGATTTACATGGGTGTTTGATGAACACAGTTGATCAAATCAGTACTTGGCTTTCACCTAGTAACCTAAGAGAAGAGGCTTTTGCAACAAAGTGTCTCTCACAGTTACATTTGTAATGCTTATTCTAAGCAACTAACCATCTCTTCCAATATTCCAAGACTCTTAATATGGCTTTTAGGACTCTTAGGACCAAAAGTTGGGTCATTCTTGTTTTCCATATTTTTTCTTATACTAAGAAATTAAGCCATCAGGTTATTACTTGTTAATAGAGTGTTTTAAACAGATAAAGTAGGAGAGGAAGAGAAGTAGAAACCACTATGTAGGGAGACATTCAAAAAGTTGTGAAAACTAAGAGAAGGTAAAACACTGCTAAATGTTAGTGACTTTAGCAAAAAGATTATCTTGGTAAGAAAAATCAATCCAAACCAATGGAAAAGAACTTGTTGATTTATTAAGTAGGAAAGATAGAGAGATGTGTAGGCTGCCTAGCAAGACAGAGTATATGCCAAACTGGTACATCTACCAATGTTTCTGCTAAGCACTTGTAGAGGGTTAAGATCTTCTCTAAATCAAAGTGTCTAGCTAAATATAACTACTTATGAGATGGTTCAGGATGTGGGAAGCTATCAAACACGTGCACTACTAAATTCAGCTTTGTTTTCTTTGACCTTTAAAGAAAATAAGAAACTTTAAAGAAATAAAATCCTCAAGATATGTATATCAACTAATTTAATAAATAGCACTTAATTTAGTATGTAAAGAGGTGAGATTCAGAATTTGTCTCAAAAAGCTAATCATTTTTCAAAATGTTGTAAACATTGGATTTTGGAAGGGATTTGTTCTGCACTGTGCACTTTAGGAAAAGACTACAATTGAATTAAGATTAAACAACCATGTCAGAAAAACACTCCATTGTGCGTAAGAATTTTCAGGTTGCTTGGTTGTTTTTTGCTTGGTTCCTGAAAAGAATCGAGAGTGAAGAGGGGGCAGTTTACATAATCCTCTAAAATTAACTGAAGTCAATCAGTTAATCAACAAGTACTTAGGGCCTCCTAGATTCCAGGCACTGTGCTAGGTGCTGGACATACAAAATCAAAAATGAAGCAGTCCCTGCCCTTACTGGGATGTTGACATTTTCAAAGCTTCATTTGTCTCTTGGTCATACAGTTGGAGACAGTGATATTCCAACATATTAAACGAAAATTACACCTTACGTATCAAACTTTGGTCCTTTCATCTTGCATCTTTCCTGTTGCTGGTGGCATGGGGCACTTCAGCATGGGACAGACTAAGCTCCTGGCACGGCAGGTCATGCCACATATCACTGTTGGCACTAGATGGGAAAGGAAGCAACTCAGCACTATTGATGTAAGTCACTAAAAGCACTAAACAGAATTCTGAAATGTCAACTTTTCTTTCAAAACAAAACACTGGTTTCTAAAACTGTACAACATGTAGATATGTTTTTTTCTCCATCAAATATACATTGAGTTGCATTAATTTTATTTAAAATTAAAGTGCTGTTCTTGTCAGAAAAAAATGACGAAAATGATGTAGAAATTTTAATATTCACTCACTTCTACATAAACTCTGTTAAAGTAATCAAAATATAACTTCTAATATTAAGTTCTACACACTTCATCTTGGGATCCAAAAATTCAGCTGAAACTCAAGATTAGCCAGCTGAGTCCAAATATCAGTTTAGACGTAAGGACCTGATTTTTTTTTTTGGGTGGGGGAGCAATGGGGAATGAGGAGTCTGTGACATTAAACATGGTCTGTATGACCGTTCTGGAGATATTTACAAGACTCCTGTCCAAGTCTGAGTGGGCAGCATGCAGCAACTTTAATTTTTCTTCTCAACTAAGGACAATCTTGCAGCGAAAACTTAATTCTGCTGGTTCTGAGAAGGGGAAGGCAATAGAGTAGCTCCATGGGATCAGGCTCCAGTAGAAATGAGCATCTTCTACTTAATTGGCAATTTTATTCAGGAGGCTGAATCAAAGTGATGGGGTTTATGGGACTCAAGGCAGAAATGCCAAATAAATTCAACAGATGTTACTAGATAACTAATGAAGGCTATGTATCACATTATAAAGTGCCATTTTATACAGATAGCATTTTCTAGCCATTATTATATACTTTGGAGAAGAGTACATACTTCAAAAACCAAATTGTAGGTAACACCCAAATCAAAGTTGATACACTAATCAACAAGGTAGTAGGACCATCACTTTACAAGTTAACACATTCAAAGCTTATAAGTTCAGTTTACCAAAAAGGTTCATATTTCTCAAAATGTAGTTGGCCACTAGCAAGTAAAGCAACAGTGGCTAAAATAGTTTTCACAATTTTGAAAGTGTTACACAGTTTTCCTTTTTTGATAAACATTTTCATGAAAAATGTCAGGCAAAACCATCCTTCTTTGAAGGAGCCCTACTTGAGTAGGATCTGAAGAATTACATTTAGGTAAACAATATGTTTTTGTAAGCTTTTTCATAAATGGTTACAGTTGAGGGATACATAATTTTTTAGGATTAAACATTCCTTTTAGGGAAAGTGGGCAAGACATTTTCTATGACTGAATTTCAGTAGATGCTTTAGGAGTGAAACTATAATTTGATTACTGGTTAATCTTCTGAAAGTAAAACATGGCACAGGTAAGAGTCCTACTGGCATTACAGCTTCAGATTCTTTGCAAACAAGATGCTTGACAATGAAGCCAATGACTAATATTATTTAACTTTATCATATAGACCTGATGGAAGAATTAATTTGGGTTAAGAGAGTACGGGTCCAGAGGATGCCCCTACTCTTGAACAGATAAGAAAATGGAAAACTTAATATACAACTAACCTCTTTGGCCCTGTTTGGGAGACTTCCTGGCAAGGCCTTTTTATATAGACATGTTAAATATAATTTAAAAAACATTTCCATCAAATTTTAAACAATAGTTTTACCTTTCAATGAAATAAGTATTTCTATAAACATTTTATATTCAACCAAAAAATGTTACAAATGCCTTTGCACCTCTCCATCTTTGGGATAAAAAGGGCACATTTTTAGATAGTTACAGAAATCAGGAAGAGTTACACAGCATAAGACTAAAAGGTTTCAAAGTTGGCCTTTACTTCCCATTTCTATATCTTAAACACAAAACTGTTACAGCAAATTAGTGTTTCCTCAGCAAGTGCTCATCAAAATTAAATGGAATATGAATTCACTGGTCCTATCCTCCTACTTACTTTTCATTCAGAAGTTCTGATTTCGTACTAAGCCCAACAGTTGTGCCTGGGTATTCCTAGGTGCTCTGCTGAAAGTTTTCTAAGGCTACTGCTCACAAAATACCCTTTGCATTACACTTCCACAAGACTGTCTGTCACACCTGAGGCCATGCACACAGGCAGACTTTTGAGATTCACGGATGGAGTTCTTAAAAGAACTGAGGCCAAGGTGATGTAGGCTTCATTTGAGCTTGCTGAAATCCCAGTTCCCTTGTTCTAGTGTGCATGCCAGAAGACAAAGGATAAGAGAGCCTCTGGAACATCAAACATCTATGTAAGGAGCTTATTTCCAAATGAACCCAGCAGAAATTTTTTTTTTTTAAAGTGAGTCTTTTTTCAGGAGATTGGTCTGTGGTCATTCCTCTTTCAAAAGCAAAGTGCTTCTCTGTAGGATGTTACCATCCCTCTTGTAAACTACTGGGATCACATCTAGGATAAGACCTAGACAGTGGTCATGGCCTGCCCCTACAATGTGCTTTATTTTAAGTTTAAGTCCTGAAAATGATCAAGGCTTAAATGCTAATCTCTTCTTTGCCCTGACTGATACCCCATCTCCCACCATGTCAACCCTGAAATAGCAAAAAAAAAAAAAAAATCTACTGTTTTATGCAAGATACAAAATAATTAGGAATAATTAGTTCTAAATAAAACATTTAGCTCTGAATTATTTATTTCCAACTTAACATCTAGATATAATAAAATAAGGTGTAAAAAGGTTGATGGTGGTTTTCAGTGAGGAAGGTGGAAAAGAGATATTCAACATAAAACAGGACTCTAAATAACTTTCCTTTGAAAAGCGTCACACCAGATGAATGAGAGATGCTGAAGGATTTCAGTTTGAGGCTTGCCCCCTGGCCTTCCTTACTTCCCCTCAAAGGGACACTGGGACAATCTGCCAGGGCTTCGGTTGCTTGAATCGTTGTGTTCTTGTGCGTGGAATTTGGCAGGAACTACGTGCTCTCTTTGGGTGGCTGGGACGGCTGAGGCTGCTGGGGTGGCTGTGTGCCTGTGGCTGTTTTGATAGAGTTCAGGGTTTTGCTAAACCAAGAGTTTTTTGCAGCTTGAATTTCATTCATGAGGGCTCCTCTCTGATGTTCAAGCTCCTAAGGAAAGGAAGAAAGACAATCATTTGAGGGTGGGGGCCTTTTTCTCTCTATTTGAAACTCTTCAGTATAGCTGTTTAGCTATTTCTAGACCACTGAGGATAGCTTTCATACCAGCAATAAATTCTACTGACTAGAGATGAAGGCAATGAGCGCAGACAACCCTTCAAGAAATTGGGCAGTGAAAGGAAGGAGGAAAAATAGAGCAGCCGCTTCCTAGGTTTAAATGGCCTGCAGTCTGGTCTGGGAAAAAGAGTGCCACTCTGGGAGTCAGCTCTGATTTGGACCACTACCTGGCTGGCTAACTGGCCTTCAATGTCCTCAGCTGGAAAAGAAGGATGTTGAGTCAGACTATCTTCAAGGTCCTTTCCTGCTCTAATATCCTAAGACAATCATCTCCCTGTTCTAGGAAAAGGTGGTAGAGCTAAAGAATGTACTTATTTCTTCTGAGAGGTGAAATAGAAGAGTTTTCTCTTCAGAATTCTAGTATTAATTTAAGTTTGGGTTGAGCTCTTTGATATAATGTTAGGTTGACATTTAATAGTTACAATATATTTCATTGTGGTGATAGATTGAAGTGAAGTCCTGACTCTCCAGATTGTGCTAAGTGCTGTGCAAAAAAAAAAAAAAAAAAGATATGTTTCTTTCCGTGGGCACTTAAAAGG